AGCAAAACATGCGCACCAGCGAAGCTTAAAAATAAACAAAACAGCAAAACATGCGCACACAAAAAAAAACAAAAAACATGCACGCAAACACGTGGATTGCGCCAGATCGGTAGTCTAAAATACCAACCACATGTGGGCGATCGTACGGGTGTAGCATTATAGCCTCACGTGCAGAATCCCTGTGCGAGCTTCAACCAGCATTGTTCCATGTCTTAAGCTAATACGTTGAGGGTCTACAAATGACGGCATGATTACGTTACACACGCTCGCGTGCACACTTGCTGTCTCTTAATTAAAAGCAGAATGCTCCGCCGTCACGGTGAGGACCCGGCCATGTGATCTCGGGATTCGCGTCATGGGCTTCTGATCAAGCTAGCCTTTTAAAGGCGGGGCTAAAGGGCGAGGTGTCAGTCGTGGGGCATTTGGCACGGGCTTTTGACATTGGGTGCTTTCGTCCACCACCAGATCGTACACAGGGCATGAACTTTCTGTAAAGCGGTCTCCCTTGTGGAACTTGGCAGTCCACTGTGATAAGCGTTCGTATGATTTTTTGCTAGATAAAATACCTATTCCGGGCAAGTGGGTACCGAAAACAGAGGGTAACATTTTCGAGGCATTCAAAATCAGTGTAAAGAAGGATGACGGTTGCATCAGTGCGTCGTCACTCGTTTCATCAAACAAGGAAATCAGATTCATTTGGGGTGAGGTATAATAATGTGTGTATATATGTTCGTGTTTTCCAAATAAAATTCAGTAGCCAGTAGCGCTCCGAGTGTGCACTCATACTTCTTTGTGCTCGTTTTTTTTTTTTTTTGCGTTTTGCAGTTGACGTTATTTCCGGCTAAACTCTGAATCAAAAACGACGTTATCGTCTGCTATCAGTGCCTTGGTGCCATGTTGGAGGCATTCGGCGTGTTATTGTGGCAGCAGTAGTGCCGTAAAGTCATAGAGCCGTCCTTGTATAACCACGTTTCAGAATATGTTCTTGTCCTGTCAATCGCACCGGGGTTCTTCACTGGACACGAAATGGAGTCCATAAACCCGTAGTTAGAGTACGAAGCTTTTCTCTCGAGGTCATAGAGTCAACATAATAATCTGGAGCGAAAGGTCCCATGCATTTGGCCGCGACAGAACTGCGAGGCATTGACGCGGACATCGGCAGCCCCATTTGGCGGCCCCGATGAGCCCATATCGAGACATTTCTGATCGCAGTTTTCGGCCCCCAGAAACAAACATACGGTCCTCATATCAAGATCGGCAATGAAATAAAAAAAATTCTTCATGCACCCTTTGCTCATGTGTAGTCGTAAAATGATGTACTTTTATCCGGGTCTCTGGAAAAAATGTGCTGAGGTTTAGTACGGGTCATAAAAGCTTTTGTCCGGCAGAGCTCTTGCTCGGGATTCATGGATTCATCAGTGAGGATGTTTACATCGCCCGCATAGATTATAGTCACGTGACCTTGTGACTATTATATGGAGCGCTATTTCCACTGTGGTTACGTGGTGGCTCCAATCTGTGGTGGCTCCAATCCAAACGACCGACCGGCGGACCGTTACGGACGCGTAAAGTGCGCAGGGCTCGCCCATAAATGCTACCACAAAGCAAGCTATGTTATGAAACGATACAACGCTCGTTTTGATGAAACCGTCGATGGGACAGCACAGGGTGCCGACGAGACGATTTTGTCGATGAAGCATCCTCCAACAAACTGATTGCCATAGCGGATAAAACACGTCGATAAAACCAATTTTCCGGATTGCTAGTTGGAGGGGTTATTAATCATATGATTTGCGTAATTCCGAGGCAAGAGAGAGCGGGTGCACTACTGAAGGAATGCCCCCACTAAACAAGAGCTCACGCGTTGAAAGCATCCGCCACAGTAAATATATTCAAACCAACATGTCCGAAAAAAAAAAAAAAGTACATTGGATAGTGTTTGGCGTTTTACAGCGATAGCTCTTCGAATCTCTAAAACTCGCGAACGGTTTCCACGTTGCCTTCACTACAAAAACAGATCTCAGCTTAATATTTGAATGATTAACTGTCGTAAAGTGCCAACCTATGAAAGACTAATCGAAAATTATTCAATCAGTTATTAGCGCACCCTTCCCGCGGATATTTATTTGTTCTATTTATTTATAAAATACCTACGGTGTGCAGAGGGCATTATTTTAGGGATTAATTTCGTACATAAACTATCAAATTGTCACAGGTAGAGAAACACAGCGTCCGACTACATAAAAGTCCAGTTCTCAAATTGCAAAAAGAAAAAAAGAAAAAAAAAACAGGAATAATAAGAAGGAACACGATCCATCAAGAGCACAGAACTCAAATATCACGCCAATATGGCACTATACAGGTATCACTGGTGACCCGTATTCTCGGAGATCACTCCTATCACAAATCAATTTTTTGGGCAAAAAAGAATGAAGATTATTCACACAATTACAATCAGTTTCTAAAAGCGGCAGCTTACGTTAAAAGCACTTACGCTACTTTCGCGAGCACTCTGCTTGTGAAATAGATGCGGGTGGCTTCCAGCTTTTCTCCTGCACTTCAAAATACTACAACACCACCAACATATATTTCCGCGCGAATGCTGCACGTGCCCGAGGCTTGTCCTTAAACAGCGAAGGCTACCGGCACGAAAGTGCAGCCTTCAGAGGTGTTTTCGCGGAATGACCGCTTGCGCTAGAAATTTTTGTTTCAAAGGGAGGTTTACGCGCTAGCCCGCGCGTGTCGCTGACTGGTTGGAGCTAGGAGCACGAGGAGCGCAAGCTCATTCTGTAGAACGTGCTATGAACACCAGGAATACTTCGTCTCAACTCAGCATGGACCATTGTTGGTCACACGTACTAAAAGCGCGAGCTAATTGTTTTGGATGACGCCTCGGCGGGCACACGAGCGCTCGCGGGTGCACAAGCACTGAAACAGCATCTGCGGTTCATTCGGAGGTGAAACTAAGTATAGCGCGTGATGCACGTTAACGACCTCAGGTTAGCGGTCGTGCTGCACTATACTCTGTTTCATACTTAGCGTGCAACGCTGTCAGAGCTACTGGTGCGAGCGTGGGGCTTGATCTCGTTGATCATTTGCACGCGTTCTCGCTCAAACAAAACCATAGATGAAGCCACGCGCTCGCGTCAGTAGCTTTCACAGCGTTGCACGCTAAGTATGAAACAGAGTATAGCTACGCGTGTCTCATGTACAGCGTGAACCAGTGTCGCAAATCTTGAAAGGCAGACCGACCTCACGCCGAATAATCTCTCACGAACAGTTTGACCTTTGAATCGAGTGTACACCAACTCATTGCGTGTAAACAAGCACGCGTTTGCACAAAAGAGCTCCGCGCACGACGCGCTGCATGCACCCATTTTCCGAAGTGTGAAGCGTTCGGCCATGCTCCGTTCAACAGGCTGCACCACCGCCTAAGCGCGACGTCATAGATTTGGTGTAGGTGGGACTCTTGTTTAATTAACAATTCACTATGGCACATCGGCTGTAATTTCGCCCTCATTTGCTTTGAAATAATGTTTTCATCCGAAATACTACCTATAGATTACGAATGACGAGTCACTGATCATCTATACGCCAGGCGAGCACGGGGTGGCGGCCCCTCTCATTGGAAATGCACCGGTGATTTTGGCACGGGTGTTTATTTCAAATTTATAATATAAGCACTCCTGACCTGTCCTATCAAAAAGATGTTTGCTTTTTTTGGCAGCAATGACAGCAGGGTTGCACAGAAGCATATATGCATTTAAGCACGTCCCTTATTATAGGGAAAATTTAATCGAGAAAAGCAATTAAGGTAAATTAACGTAAAGTTCTTTTGTATAAAAATAAAAAAAAAAAATTCTGCCATATAAGTGCACACGTCAGTACTTAAATGATTGTGTTGTTACCCATGAAGCGCGCGAGAAAGACCTTCTTGAGAAAAAATGTGAAACAGATACTTTTATAAATATATTAATTAATCCACCACTTTCCGAGTTTCCGGTTCGAGGGTAACCCGAGGCACATGTTGCCAGGCCGCATTAGTGGCGTAGGAAAACAAAGTCTCCATCTTGCGCTAGTCTGAGGCTCCCGGCACCATCCCGACGTCGTTCGATACGATGCCGACGCACTGTGTCGCGTTTGGGTGTCGAAACTGGCATCGGAAGGGGGAGGGGAAGAGCTTCTTTTGCTTTCCCTCTGCGAAATTCGACCCAAATCGAAGAGCGGCGTGGGTAAACGCGGTGAAGCGGGCTCACCCGACAGACCCGAGGAAGGCTTGGGAGCCGAGCCAGCAGTCCCGATTATGTGGGGCGCACTTCGTCACTGGTAAGTCGCTTCAATCGCAGCTGAGAAAAACAAACACAAAGCGTTGGGTAGTTGCATGATCGTTACATTGCCGCTCTATCAAACAGGAAAACCGTCGCTGGATAGGCACCACCCGGACCATGTGCCGACTATCTTTGCTCACCGGAAACAGCAGCCATCTCTCGATCGCTACGATCGATGGAAACATCGCGGGTCCACTGAAGGTACGAAGTGACGATGGTCATAAAGGCGCGTTCACGCTGTGGAATTTTACTCGCGTTTTGAATTCGCCGTCTGAACAAGACAAGAAAAAAGACGTGCGTCTCGTAAAAAGGATGCGCGCGTTCATCGCTTCTGGAGCGACCTTTTCTAATGCCAGTTCTTGGAAATGTATGCCCGCCGACGTTTTTGTTGTGTTTGCGCTTATTAACTCCTCTGCCTGACGACGGTTGATCGGTATTGACTGGACTTTATAATCGTGCGCATATGGAAGCGCGAAATCTGCCTATATAACAGTCAGTGCACCAACTAGCCATTTTACATGACGAACTCATCTAATCGCGAGCTAGTAGTATTAAACAGCATCTTCTGGTTTGTGTGTGTCCTTGCTCGTCAACTTCAAACAAGCATAACCTTGCGCGTTTCATTTTCCAGTAAGTCCAAGTGGCCTGTACCAAACTGAGAATGTGGGCAAATCACCATAATCACACTCTAGCTTTACTTGTTTCGCCTCTGATATTGTATGTCATCTTCAAACAACGAACCAGTACGAAGTGCTGGTTCTGCGTGCGTGCAGCAGGGAGCATCACAGCCAGCAGCCCAGCCTTCTGCAGCAGCAGTACCCTCCTTGGCCCTTGCTAAGGAGCTCCCAGTTGCCGACCCCCTTCCAGAAGGTTCCGGCGGTAACCCATTCCCGTGCTCAATCTCAACGGGTATTTCGAACGTAGAGCCACTGCCCGAAGGTAAGGATCGACTACTAACTCAGTCATTGCTACTAAATTATTATTATTAGATGCGGGGCTTATTCCCTTGCCTTGTTTTCTTGAGATAGTGTTCGCAGGACCCAGTGAAAGAATGTTAGGTGACACACCATCCTGAGATGATGCCGACAGAGCACCAGACCATGCGGAGGACACAAATCTAGCCACATTCTACTTCTACAATTTTTTTTAGGAACAGATATAATTTTATACCTGTTTTCACATCAAGAACCGTAGTAAAAAAAGTTCGCCGCCTTGTGGAGCATTACTGATTTCCACCTTTATGTAGAGAATTAAGATATATGTAGGTGCATTCTAGATTAGATGTATGTTATCTTATCAAGACATACACATTCCAAACTCCAAAAAGCGTTGCTTTTTTCTCTGATAACTAAATCTTGTAAGAACTACTTTGCCCTGCGTATGAACAATGCGCAAGACTCGCTTTTCTCTTGAGGTGAAAACAGATGTAGGTGCGACACACTTAAAAAGAGAAACGATTTAGACATTGCATGAGTGAAGTAAACATTCAAGAATGCTAGCACTAATCATTTCACATCCCTGAAGTAGAAAAGTAAAATAATTGCTTCTCTAAAATGCTATGCACCAATAGTGCAGACGGGCACGAGCAAACACGTAGGCAAGAATGTTTCCCTTCCAAGTGCTGTCATGTTGTCGTTGCACCAAATAGCTCGTCTCTTCGAGGACGTGTTGGTACACCATCGGGACATGCGTCTAGACCGCTGCAACCACGGTAGCACTCCACATGCACAATGAATTTTCACTCAGTCTGCCATGCCACGCCAACGTTGATCTCTGGCAAAGTGCTTGCCAGTGGGTCGCGGCCGCCGGGCATACACGTGACAGCTCTCTTCTTGAAACGTGATTGGTCGCTTCTTTCAGTCGCTCGAGACGCAGCATAGAAGTTTGACCCGATCCTACTTGCTCCGTTAGAAACGACCGGGTGCTTGGTGCTCCGTTGCTATGACAACTCGTCGTTGCAACATTGTTGGAGTTTGTAAATGTTCTGGCTGCCCCAAATGCAGATGCGTGAACGGGCCTTTTTTCATCTACGCTCATTGGTTCAAGAAACCTGCATGTGACCACGACTTCAGTTTTTGTCTTTTGACTTGTCAGCTGGCCCATTGCCTTTGTCTGATATGATTATAGCAAGTTGCTCTAATCATACTCCAGGGCCCGTTTGCTCAAAGCGCTAGCCGCGGCTAAAGTTAGCCGCAGTACCTAGGAGAGGGATTTTGAAATCCCGTGACTGGCTCGGTAGGAATGCGGGGAAACATGGCGGCACCCCAGTGAGTAAGCGCCGCTCGCTTTGGAAATAATATATCGGTGTAGCTGCAATATCGGGCGTGTTAGTCAGCAACTAATGGTGCAGGAGGCTTTCAGTTTGCCTTACCTCACTTAAATTGCAAAGCATGAGCAATGACCTCGCCACATTATTTAGATAGTCTTTCGATTCTGGCCATTCCCTAGCCTAAATGAACGCGATAATTGTCGGCACGGCAACGTCTTTGGAAGGTGGATTGCCTTGTCTCAATCGGCCGGGTATTGATAGCATACAAAAGCAGACAGCACCTCAATAGACCTTTTTCTAAATTTCCCAAGCGCCGAGGTCCATGCTACGAGTGTAGTTACATGCATTGCACGTGCTGGCGTCTGCAGTAGTAATTGTTCTAAAGCAAAAAGTCGAAAACAAATTTTGCCTTGCACGCGCGTTCGTCAAAGCCTTATTATGATTATTTACTTGGAATCTATGGTCCGCGGGCAGGCCGCAGAATTACACTACCAGCGTTCTCGATGCTTGGGCAATTTAGAAAAAGGTCTATTGGAATGCTGTCTGCTTTTGTGTGCTATCAATACCCGGCCGATTGAGTCAAGGCAACCCACTTTCCAAAGACGCTACCATCTCGACAATTACCGCGTTCATTTAGGCTTAGGAAGGCCAAAATCAAGACCATCTAAAAAAATGCGGCGAGGTCATTGCTCATGCTTTGCGATTTAAGTGAGGTAAGGCAAAGCAAAAGCCTCCTGCACCATTCGTTGCTGACTAACGCGCCTGATATTGCAGCTTCAACAACATATTTGTTCCAAAGCGAGCAGCGCTCACTCACCGGGGCACCGTCATGTTTCCCCGCATCCCTACCGAGCCAGTCACGTGATTTAAAAATCCCTCTCCTAGTTACTGCGGCTAACTTTAGCCGCGGTTAGTGCTTCGAGCAAACAGGCCCAGCCTTACTTGTTTTGTCACTAAAATTTTGTGTCCTTCTTGAACAACAATCCAGCCCCAAGGAGTGGTGCTGTCTCCACCTGTGTGCAGCAGGTAGCTGCACAGCTGGCAAGTGACGTCTCTTTGGAGATGCCTGAAGAGGCGGTGGAAGACCCATGCACTCAAGACTCCATAAAAGGTGTTAATTTAATTGTTTGGCTGGAGTGTTCAGACCTCGAGGTCTACAAAAGCACTGCAAAATAAATTAGGATTCCCAAAAAGATTGGATCATAGGCAGCTGTGCCATCACAACAAATATTGACTCATGGGACTATGAGCTGCTGCTACACACCAGCATGTGTACTAGGTGGTTGCTGTGATACCGTGAAGGAAATTAAGTATTTAGATTATTATAGCCCTTCATATACATTTTTGAACTAAGGAAATAGCTTAACTCTGCTTAGGACATCGGAAAGAAGTTTGCTTTCTTTATTTGTTAAATGCGATAACATTTCTTTCGACTACCCCCCCTTCCTGTTATCTCAGTAAAATTATGTAAGTCTTATAACAAAGAATGACTGTGTATGTGCAGGATTAATTAAAGAAGATACAGTATATGCACCAGTCTACACTAGCTCCCAATTATGAGCTTGATGCTGTACGCCTGTGCAATCTGCTACTGGATGGTGTAGATGACAACGTTTCAGCTGCAGTACATAAGTCACGCAGCTGACATGGAGTGAATGCATGACGTATGTATGAGCCCCCTGCATTTCATCACGAAATTACGCGTTTGCAAGTTTGGTCTTAGGGAGCCACCATCTTGCCCAGTGGGGTGCGCTTGGGTGAGGCCATAATCAGATTATGACGCGTCCAAGCGCACCTCAACCGAGCAGGATGAAAGTGCCCTGAAGCCGGACTTGCAAACATGCATAGAAGCTCTCCACAGGGGTACCAGTTAAAGCTACCCACTCCTGCTCATACTATTGTCAGTTAGTCATTGCGAGGGTAAGGTATAGTGTTGGCATGCTTTGCCCTCCATTTGGCACCAGCAAAAATTTAGTGTACTTTGAGCTTACAAGTAAATTCAGATGACACATTATGTGCAGAATAGGGCAACTTCACTCAGCATAAGATTCATGTATCTATCTGTGCTTCCTTTACAGAAATGGAGAAGGATGCCGCTGTCGGCCTAATCATGATGGCTGGGAATCCTGAGGTGTCCAAGCTGCGTGACCTGCAGATGGCCAAAATGCAGCAGGTCATTCTTGATCTGCAAGCAGACAAACAACGTCTCGAAAGGCAGGTTTGCCACCTGCAAGCCAGGCAGCTTAGTCTCAACACTATCCAGGAGCCTAAGAACTGTTTATATTATACTGGGCTGCCTGAGTTTTCAGTTTTTCAGAATTTGTTTAATTTTCTTGAGCTTCGGGCAGCCAAGATGACCTACTGGTTAGGTAACAGAAAGACAGCTGGTGAAACCAAAGACCGCACACGGGAAATGTCTCTGATTGACGAGTTTTTTATGGTCCTCGTGCGGTTAAGGACAGGGATGGCAGGCAAGGAACTGGCCCGCAACTTCAACATTTCTGAAGGGCAGGTAAGCAAGGTGTTTGTTACGTGGATCAAGTTTCTCCAGCGACAGTTAAGGGTACTGTTACAGTTTCCGACAGTTGCTGAGATTCAGCCCAACCTCCCTAATGCCTTCCACAAGTTTTCTAACACGAGGGCTGTCCTTGATGGAACTGAGGTACGTATCCAGAAGCCGTCGTCGTTGCTTGCTCAGAGGCAGACCTTCTCGCCCTACAAACACTACAACACCTACAAAGCGGTTGTTGGATGTACACCCGAAGGGTACATTTGCCATGTTTCACAACTGTGGGGTGGGACTGTGTCAGACAGAATGATAGTTGAGGAGAGTGGGCTCGTGGATCAGTTGGAGTCGGGCGATGCCATCATGGTAGACAAGGGATTCAAATTTAATAGCCTACCACCTGGTGTGCAAGTGCACATTCCGTGTTTCAGGCAGCCGAACGAACCTCAGATGCCGGAGGAAGATGTGGCACACACCCGGCGGGTGGCCAGTGCACGTGTAGTTATTGAACGCGCAATCGGAAGGATTAAGCAATTTCACTTCCTTGATCGACCCTTCCCCATCTCCATGATAGATATTGCAGATGAGGCGTTTCAGGTTTGTTGCTTTTTAAGCAACTTTCGTATGCCACTCAGCCGTGCTGAGTAGCAGCAGGACATATGTGTCGGCTTCAGTGGCAACCTTCAGCTTGATAAACATTTTAGAATAACTTCCTTTTTGTGGTTGAACTCCAGGGTTTTGTTTTTAAATGCAGCACGTCGGAGATGGTTTTGAGGTACTCTAAATGGACCACAGGGTTCCGGAAAAGTTCTCACTTTAGAGCCATCAGTGAGCAGCGAGAACTCATCCGCTCGCGACCACGTGCTGGCGGGCGCCGCGCAAACAATATGGTAAAAGTAGGAAAGTCTCATCCGGGTCCGGCCACACCCGTCCGGCCCTGTCCCCCTCCCCCTCCGGCTTCTGGCGGCTGTTCGCGGTAGCAGAGAGAGCCGACGCTTTTGTGGATCTAGGATAGATGGCGCCACTAAAATTCCGTATAGTAAAAGTTTTGTCGATGATACCAGATTTTTGACGCATTTATATGCATTTTGGAAGTACAACATTTATAGAAAAGTTACCTTTTATCGAGCAGGTATTCGCACAACTTGCTATCTTTCTACAAGACTCCCCATTGACGTCACGCCGCGTGTTTCTCATGGCCGCCGCTCGCGGCTGCAGGTCGGGGAATACGTATTCTAAGTTTTGCCTCGCTAGTACGTGGCGGAATCGCAACATTTCGACGAAAGGAGGTGTGTTTTCTGTCATTTGTGACAAGGTGAACAATATCAAAAGCAGAAGATGCCAATTCTTTCAACGTTAAAATCGTTGCACAGCTCCTTTAATATTAATGTAATAGAAGGTTGTTTCTCGTGCACCAACGACTTCGGTTTCGGAATAATACCCTGGAACAGTAACACAATGCATCTCGCCCCTCTTTTCACTATTTGTCTCGTGCCCTTAAAGGGATACTACAACGAAATTTCGGCGCTCATTTTTTGGTCTATATGTGTTCAAAAAAGCAGCATCACATCGAACATACCAATATCTTGTTAAAAAAGTCATGAAAAGAAATTTAAAACGAATTAAACGATTAACAAAGAGCACCTGGTGGATGTCGCTAACGCCTCGCTTGTAATGCCCGTCTAGGAACCTTGACAGCTAGTGACGGAGGTTGTCTCGTCTCCGGCCACTACGAGAGAAGAGGGGCAGGAGGAACTCCCCTCTTCCCCTGAATGCCTTTTGTGTGTCGCAGAAGTCGCTATTGTCCCCTACAAGATTATAGAAGATTAACCCGTCACTCAAAATTCGTACAAAAGCAGCCGCTTCGGTGGCTGGAACGACTAGGCCATCCTCTCGACGTCAGTCTCGCCGTAGCTTTGCTCGTCTTGAGACGACCTACGTCACGATTGCGTTGGATGTCACGTGTTCTCCGCTCGGCCTTCTCCGAGCGCTTGCCAGAGTGCGCCGTTTATAACGAAAAATACAGCCACCAGGCTCAAAATACAAACGTGCCATTGTCATTTACGGATATTGTGGATCATATTCAACCTATTTTTGAACACGACGGGAATATTTCAAATTTCGTTGAAGTATCCCTTTAACTCTCACTGGGGGACATCCCCTTTAGATGAGAGAAATTTTGCAGTACGACCGCTAGCATATGGTCTCTAACGTGCATCATGCAGTAGTAATAACACTAACGCATCCTGGTTTGATGCTCATAAAAATTAACGGGGGTGGTAATCGTACCTAGGATCCCTGGGCTTTGTGACTAGAGCTTTCGCTTTACATGCTTTGTGCTGTGACATGCTATGCTCCATTTCACAATAACTTGGCGAACTATGGAGGCTGCGGCCCCCATGATCCAATAAGAGCGTCGGAGCAAGTCACATGATAAGACTCCATGGTTGAGGCCTCCGAGGCGTCGTTTTTGGGGGCACCGAGATGTCGCCAAAGAGTTGTTCAATGTTTCATTTCTTTCTTTTTTGTGCTAACTGAACTTGAGTGATTCCATCTTTATTAAGAATAAATATAAAAAAATTAATGAAAAAAAATATTGACAAATTTTAATGATATTTAAACCGAAAAAGTAATGCGACATTTGTATTCAGTTCGATTTTTTTTTCTTCTTGTAGTGCCGTGGCCGTTGGTGATTGCAGCCGTGTAATCAGCCGCTTGCAGGGCAACTATGGTCGAAAACGGAACCAAAATAAATTACTGGTACCGCTTTAGTGGCACAACTCTCGGCCTGCAGACAACAGCCAGTTCCTTGGTGCAGTGACACACACGCTTCCGCTATGTGGTTTTATGTGCCTCGCTCCGACGCTCTTATTGGGTCGCGGAAGCTGTAAGCTCCACAGTTCGCCAAGTTACTATGAAACAGAGTAGCACACTTGGTCACCGTTCCCCCCTAGTGCCTGCCATGATTGTCCTTAATCACATTTGGCTGTGATCCGCAATTGGCATACGAGTTTAGATTAGATATATCAAAGTATTAGATGTCCTCATTTCATTATTTCATGTGTGTGGTCTTTGGTCTCAATGTCTAATGGGCTGTGCATTTTTTTGTATGATTATACATCTTGCCAGTGTGTTTTAGGAGTGCAACAATTATTATGACTATAGCTGCTTTTTACAGTGTCGATCTAAAACTCACTATCTTCCTTATGCAGTTCAGGCTATTGCTGCCTCATAGTTAGTGTGTTGAGTTCGGTCATATTGTGCATCAATTTTTACTTAAATCTGCTATGTGGGAAGTACATGAATAGATAACGTCAATTATCTGCTGTGCATCACTGTTCACATTTATGATTCTAGTAACTTTGTACAGCGTTATCTAGAACTTGCTCTTTGGCTTTAGTTTAGTATGCAGTTTGGGTGATTACTGCCTCGGAGTCTTTGTGTTCAGCTGGGTTATGTCCAGAGTTTCCTTATTTGAAAAACTCTCATGCACCAATCTTTGGTGTTTGAATATATTGCTTGGGAAGTACATGAGTAGCTAGTGTGAATTCTCTGTTGTGCATCAATAGCGAGATTAAAGTTTGAATAAGCCAACGAAGTTTTGGCTACTTCGGGTCTTTTTCCCTGCAAAGTCGATTGTAATGTTAATGACTTTGACACGCTACCTCAACACATCATGTGTTAATACAAGTTGGAGCTAGAAAATCTTTTTTTTTTGTTGTTTTTTACTCTGAACAGTCTAAGAAGGAATTAGCTCTGCTTGTTTATAGGCAAATGGTTTTCTATTTATTGTAATAAACTGTAAAAATGTAAACCACCACACCCTGTGTCCTGTTTTTCTGCAGTAAACACCATTCTCAAAGACACGGGAGTGGCTACAAAAGCACTGCCCCTGACAAGCATATTTATTTGGCTCTGAAAAGAGCCGTTGTGACTTGGAGAAGCCTCGGGCTTCATGCAGGCGCTCCTTCACTCCAGCCTACGCAGCTTCTTTTTCAGTCCGGGACCGTCCTCCACCACATAAAACCCTTTGCAGAACTTCTTGAAGGAGACGTACTGGCCGCGAGCTATCAGGGCTCTTCGACGCCTCACACGGCCCGTTACCACTTCTGGGAATAGGGCATGCTTGGCGAAGTAGATAAGCCCTGGCAGCAGTGCTCCATCAATGAACTTCTTGTCGAAGGCGATGGTCTCGACGTGCGTCGAATTGGCAACAGTCGTGTTGTTAGTCCAAAAAACAAAATCGCACCACTGGTGTCCGGTCACTGCCATCTGCCCTTGCACCTGGTAGAAGTAGGCGTGAGTCTTCTTCAGTCGTACCACGCCATCCACAACTTCGCAGCAGAACTTCTTGTCCTTGCATGCCTCCATTGGTGTTAGCCCAATCTTCGAAGCCGGACACTTCACCTCCAAAAGGCCCTCTTCGTTGTCCTTCCTCACGATGCGGTCGGGCGATGCTGCAATGAAGCTGCACTCTGGGTGAATGTGCAGCCCAGTCTCGCGGATCTCGACGGGAGTGTCGAATGCTGCCATGAGTGATGCATAGGCTGAGACTGCGGTACCCTCGTGCGTCCTCCCATAGCGCATGGCCTCACTTGAGGCATCTGGGCTCGGGTACAAAATACCCTTGACCAGGTACTCGGGCTTGACACACTTGATGACAGCAGAGAAGACTGATGCCGTAATCCTGCCCTGCCGCTCTTTGTGCCACCTTGGATTATTGGCTTGACCGATGGTGGACCGGGTCACTTGTTCCCTCTCTTCCTCCGTCAATGTTGGAAGGGACTCCATGTGTTTTGCAACAACGTCCCGGGCATTCTCACTCCACAAATCTTCATCATCTTGGATGGGGAGCACTGGTGCCGCTGGTCCAAGTTGCTGTACACCACTGTACAGAAGCCACTGGAGGCCCGGTGT